TACATATATACGCTGGTCATGAGTCAATGTATATATATAAATGCATGAAATGCATAAGAAATACGTTAATAATATTTTCTCAGAATGTCATAAAACTGATATGCCTTAAGAAATACGTTAATAAGATTTTCTCGGAATGTCATAAAAATAATATGCATGTCGGATAAATTTTATCAAATACGTATTTTTTTTGAGACCCATGAACAGAAGATATAATAATAATTCACATGGAAAAATCAAGAATATAGACACCCCTAATATTTCTATGAATAGTCGTTTATGGAAACTGTGCGTTTGCTCGTTTCTTTCAGTATCATTTGGATCATGCCAAAAGAAAGAAGGGATAGCCTTAACATACCTGAGTCGATTCTCTTGACAATCCTCTAATACACGTTAATTGCGACAAAACACGGAACAAGTCGTATGAAAAGCTCGAAGCAATCATGTTGCTATGCAAAGAAAATCTTAAGCGAAACATTTCCTTAAGAACTTAGCAACAACATTGCTATTTGGAAAGTGAATTAACGTTGGTGCTTGAATTGTAAAGTTTCTATGTAAAGCTTGGATTGTAAAGTTTCTGTGTAAAGCTTGAATTGTAGAGTTTCTATGTAACGTTGGTGCTTGAATTGTAAAGAACTTAGAATGGATCTCTTTCCTTAAATGAGTAAGGTGACTCGCGTTCAAGACTTGCCCACCTCTCTTACTCTTTCCACCTCTTTTAATGACTTAAGAGTCATTTGGTTAAAGAGTGGCTTGCTGCCACGTTGGTCTTTCCCATCATTATCCAAATAATTTATTAATTAAATGGGTAATATTCCATTACCCAATAATTAACCAATTACCCGCATAATTAAGAATTGTCTCAATTTACTTAAAATACTCCTTACTTTTAACATACCTTATACACCTTACTATCATGGCCATGTGGTACCTTGTATGGTATTAGTCCATAAATACCGGGTATTTTAGCTCGGGTCGTACTTTATCCAAAATGTCAAACTTCGACAAAATTTATTTTCTCCGATTTGCTTACACCTCACCTTCACGAATTTACTCGTTACTTGTTTGAAATAGCATAATACTTACAATTTCAAAATAATCTCATTCCCGAACTTACGTCGATTAACTTACGATAAAGCTTTAACGTACGAAAATGCGAGATGTAATATCTCATTTCCGAGCTTTCAAAAATGTATGTATGGCGTACGTTAATGTATGAAAATATGGGGTGTAACAATAATATATGGTCATTGGACCTAGAATGGGTACTATCAGGTTTGATTATGGTATATTTGGGAGGATGACAACGAAAGTCGGCTTAGAAGGTGACTATGGTTCTGGTTGGGGCAAGATAACTCCATGACTTGTTGATCTAATAAAGGGTTATGAGATTCCACAAAAGTTTTGGAACGAGGTTTTGTGGGATGTGGGGTTTAATATAGTACTTGGTTGGTTTGGAGTAGTTACCGAGATTGGAAATGGTGCTGTGAGTATGCGAGTTGTGGATATATCATGTGATTACATCGTGAGTTATGGCTATGGCTTGATATAATTTGTTCGGACTTATACAGTGTGTGGATGTGAGATTCGGGTCTTGAAAAGAATTCTGGATGTTAGAAATGAGGCACCAAAGTTTTTGGGCTAAGGTTAAATTGATTCAGGAGCGGCTTCGCACGGCAGTCTAGACAGAAGAGTTATGCCAACCAGAAGGTCCATGATGTTGCTTACATGGTTGGGGAAAAGTTTCTGCTCAAGATTTCACCCATGAAGGGTGTGTTGAGGTTCGGAAAGAAGGACAAGTTGAGCCCTCGATATATTGGGCCTTTTGAGATACTTAAGAAGATTGGAGAGGTGGCTTATGAACTTGCTTTGCCACCTAGTCTATCAGGTGTTCATCCAATGTTCCATGTGTCCAAGCTACGAAAATATGTCGGGGATCCGTCTCATATTTTGGATTTTAGTACAGTGCAGTTGGACGGTAATTTGACTTATGATATGGAGCCGGTGGCTATTTTAGACCGGCAGGTTTGAAAGCTGAGGTCAAAGAATATAGCATCAGTGAAGGTACAATGGAGAGGCCAGCCAGCCGAAGAAGCTACTTGGGAGATTTAGCGGGAGATGCAAAGCAAATATCCACACCTATTTGAGGCTCCATGTATAATTCTAAACACGTTCGAGGACGAACGTTTGTTTAAGAGGGGGAGAATGTAACGACACAGCCAGTCGTTTGAGTATTATAATCCCGTTTACCCATTTACTGCTCAAGTTACGCTTTACGGTTGTTTTATGAATTATCGGGTTAGTTGGTTCGGGTCCGGAAGGATTTCGGAGTGAAATGAGACACTTAGTCTCATAATTGAAAACTTAAGTTAGAAAAGTTGATCGGATATTGACTTATATGTAAATGACCTCGGAATTAAATTTTGATTATTCCAATAGCTCTGTATGGTGAGTTTTGGACTTAGGAGAGTGTCCGAAAAATTATTTGGAGGTCCGTAGTGGAATTAGGCTTCAAATGGCGAAAGTCAAAAATTTTTAGAAAGTTTGACCGGGGGGTTACTTTTTGATATCCGGGTCGAAATTTGATTTTGAAAATTGGAATACCTTTGTTATGTCATTTATGACTTGTTTGAGGTGATTTGAAGGCTCAACTAAGTTCGTATGATGTTTTAGGACTTGTTGGTGTATTTGGTTGGGGTCCCGGGGGCCCCGGGTGAGTTCCGGGAGGATTTCGGATCATTTTTCCTTGTTTTGCAACTGCTAGAACTGGTGTCTGGTATTGTTCTTCGCGAACGTGAAGGGTCTCACGCGTTCGCGAAGAAGGATTTTGGGTTGTTGGGATTTGCCATCGCGAACGCGAAGAAGAGGCTGGGGAAGCCTATGCGAACGCGAGTGAGCGGACGTGAAGAGGAAAGGGAGTTGGGGCCTGCCTGGCATTAAGCCTTCGCGAATGCGGCTCGTGTCTCGCGAACGCGAAGGGTAGAGGTCGGAAGGGTAGAGGTCGGAACGTGCTGCTTTTGTTAGGATTATTTAACTTTTCTTTGTATTTCTACACCCTAAACAATGTAAGGAATGCAAGACAATTCCTTGCATTCATGCTCTTACAAATCGTCATCGAGCAACTATGTTTGATGGTCCCATCCCATTAAATCAGCAGCTAATCAATTGAAAATAACCCAATGACACCTTTATATATTCGTAAGGGTGCACACCGTTGCAAGACTGCAGTGTTTTGAATAGCGTGCGGCGACAAATAGCGACGAGGGTCCGCTTCACTGAGGCTACGCGCTCGCCTCTTTGATGTGAAGCGACAATTTATACAAAAAAATAAAATATTATATATATAACTAAAAACTCAATAGCAATAATATATTAATAAATATATCAATTCAAAAATTAAAAACTCAATAGATAGTCATAGTAGATTCATAAACTAAAAGTCTAAAACAAGTAACATCTATTCTCAGA